ATTTATTAATAATTTATATTAATTATAATATAATATAAATAAATAAAAAACAAAAAAATAAAATCAATAACTTATACTAATTAATATATTTTTAAAATAAATTAAAATAATAATAAGACAAAACAATAATAACTAAAGGACAATAAAACACTAAAAACAAAAAAACAAAAACATAATAATTTAAGTAGTATTAAGGGTGCCAATAGCAATGGATAGGGGTGCTATTAACCACCCCCATAATAAATTAATAAAAATATAAAAACTGTATAAAATAATATTTTAAGTTTAAATGGTATAAAATACAATAAATATGAATAAGATGTAAAAAAAAGTGACACATTTGATGTTTTAGAAAAAAATTAAGTTTTAACCTTAAGTTTATATTGGTAAAATATAAGTCTACTACACCTTACCCCCATCTTGTTCCATAGAATAGGAGTGGAAAATGCATTTTCCATTCTATTTATTCTGATCCATATAAAAATCCTGTCAGACATAAAATAAAGATCCCTTTTCTGTTCTTTCCACTCCAATGTACCAAACCAAATACACTCTAAAAAAGTTATTTATATAAATCCATTTTAAATCAAATAATGTATTAAATTTATAAAAATAAAGGTTTAATGTTGAAGAAAGAATATTATAAATTTCAATGGAAAAATGACCGCAACCACCGAATCTTGGAGTCTTGACTCTTGACCAAACGTTGGTCATACACAATCTTTTCTTTGAATTTTTCTCAACTTTTTAATCACACGTTTTTAAGCATATTTATTTTAAGTCACAAGTCTTATCGATTTTTTTGGATGAAAACTTAATTCAAAATGAGATATTTGTATTATTGTTTTTTTAGAGTAAACTATAATTTTTGTTCCTATGATTTAAGAAAGATTGTGATTTTATATTCCTATGGTTCGAAAATTATTTCTATTTTCATCCCTAAGACTAAAAGGGTGTTTGAGATCGCAGTGCTTATTAACTTATTACAGTATTGTACTGGTAATTATTATTTTTAGTGTTTGGATGGGAGAAAAGAGAAATACTTATACCGTTTTGATACCGGTAATAAAGAGTTTTTGATAAGTTACTTCCTTCTAACTTATTAACTTATTTTGATGCGGTACCATTAATAAGAAGTATTGTGTTTGGATGAAAAAACATAAATATATATCAGTTTATTACGTTTTGGTATTGTTATAGGCTAATTTAAACATTTTTTTTAATATAAAATGTTGATTTGACACCACATAAGTTGATAAACATTTTTGCAAAAAAAAAAATTGTTTTAAATAAGCAATACCAAACACCCCTAAATATGTTTAAAAGAGAAAATGACAAAACTAACTACTTTATACAACCCTCTTACACAAAATAACCAGTTTTTAGCGGTTTTACAAAACTAACCACACGGATCTCCCCCGGGGGCGATCCGTACATTTCGGGGGCGATCCGGTCTTTTTCTTAGAATTTTTTTTTTTTAGTTTTTTTTGTCTACTTGGAGCGAGCCATGTCATCGAATCACCCGTTGATGTGCTAGAATCGTAAGTGTGCACACAGTAGACATAAAATCCCCAAAGTGGCGGTGCAAGTGCACGCCGACACTAAGATCACTTCAAGTAATAAAGTGGTATAGTACCAAGATCGTTTCCACAAGGACCRGACTTACTGAGAATCAGAGACTTTCATGAACTTCTTGAACAATGTTTCGGGTTGAGAAAATATTTGAGTTTCGATTGGTGCAAAGCGTTAAAATACGAAATAAACCTTTAATATTAAAAGATGGGTATGGGTGTAAGCTTTGCTTAAGAATATTGCAGAAACGACTTGGTCAGAAACCCATGGGATTTCTATAAGAACTCCTTTCTCTCGAAAGTGAATTCTTATATACTGTGCCCACAGAGTGCCCACAAAGCGTCCAGATTTATCAATCTTAAACTTGCCGAATTAGCTACTAGATAAAAAGATATCTGGTTCCACTAGTCTGAAGATTTATACTCACAACGTATTGTAGCATAAAYTCGACTAATATCTGAACAAAAGCTAAAAACATGCAAAACCCGCATCTCTGCGTGATTATCAAAGACTCACTCGAATCTTTGTGCATCATCTAAGCCGTATTTCAGATCTGCCCATCTCTGGATCAAGAATCTAATATTAACACTTCAAAGTGATCGGCTTATCTGTGTTGAGGTTAAGTCCCGACTTAAATGACCAAGCTTAAGAATCAATAAAAAATGACAACACCCAAGTGTGCCCTGAAATCCTTAAGCTGGACTCACACCCACACCCAAAGGGGTGCTTAGCTCATAATGAAATTAGAAAACATAACAGAAATAAAAAAAGAAGAATGCATAAGAAATACTTGAACTGAAAATAAAATACTTACTGCTGCCCACAGAGGGCACACAATACACAGTGGCGAGAATAAAAGATGAACTACGGAAATTAAATTACAAACTGAAATTAAACTAGTTCTACTGCTACAAAGCTTAAGATAATACTCCAAGGTTGTTTGGCTAAGTTGCTGGTGGAAAAATTGGATGATTAACATGAGAGAAAGCCTTCAAATATATAGGAGAAAGGTTGGACCCGGATACTCTTTGTCCAATGGATAAAAATCTGCATTGTCCAAAGGGTAAGGACCACCCATCATCACAAGTTTACTTCAATCTCTGGCCTTGTCACTTCTTCTTGAAAGGTTGCAAAAGGTGAAAGTACTCCTATTAATTACGATAAGAAGGTTTTTCCATCATAATAAAAGTAAGTATACTTTCCTTGTCTTTATTAGCTTTAACCAGGTCCATTCCTCTAAGTAACTTAATGCTTAGATCTGAACTTAAAATTAACTCTCATTAATATCCAAAAACATGAATATCATAATTTTGTTCAAATCCAACTAGATGCAAATCCACCATAGAATGATTRTGAGCAGAAAGTGGGCAATTTACCAAAAGTAATGGGTTTTTTAGAAAATAATTAAATTCTTGACCTTTCATCACCTCTTAACATATTTTGGATCAAAAATAGTAGATATGAGCAAAATGAGTACCAAAGATACAATAAAATAGGGGTATTGAACAACAAATAACTCTCACAAAATGAGAGTTATCAGCGATCCAGGCTTTAAGTTTATTTTTTTAACTTTTTTTTTGTAATACCAATTTCACTATAAATATCAACCTCATATTTCATAATTTTTCACACATTCCCTTTCATTTCTCTTATCATG